CAAGAGAAAGGCATGATCAATAGATTGAAAAGTTCAACTCAGTGTTATAAGTGTTATAATAGTAAATGTTGATAAGTAATAAAACAGACTGCCTAGAACAGTGGTAGATTCTCTTCTCAGTGAGGATTTTCAAATTGGACTTGCATGGCTACTTATCGCAATTTATTGAAGAACCCCAACACAACAGTATATTTAGCGATTTCAGTTTTTGAGTGGATCTCCTTCATATGTGGAGTCCAGAATAATTTACACCCCTCCCCCATTCATTCCTAATATCCATATCAGGGGACAGATACATTTCAAAATAAGGGGGGCAGCTAAAGGTTTATGTTCACTTTTACATTTGGGGAAAAGAAAGATCTGCCCTCCAAAACAATACTTAATGTATTTGTTTATTTAGTACTTATTAAGTTATTTAATTACTCATCAATTAAAATAAGCACACAAATGAATCATTATCTGAATACAAAAATATGTAGTAACTATAAAGGCCAATCCAATTTTAGGCTGTTCCACATTATCTGAGGTTAGGCTCAAACTTGAAAAGTATACAACAAATAAAATGCGCAAGTAGAAATAGGGGTTTCCGGTTTGCGAGGCTTCGGCAGCGGCAGGGATTTGCGATCCAGCGCGATCCCTGCCGAGCTCACTGCCAAGGTTCCCCCGATCCGTTTGGATCTGGGGGATATAGCTGCCTTGCAGGGGCAGCTGAAGACAGGGGGGATCTGGAAAGGGGGCAAGGGGTGTCACAGACCCCCTCCCCAGCCAGCAAAACCCCTTTTCCCGAGGCGGAGGAGCGGCAGTCAGCAATGGCCGCCATGAAGAAACCTGCAAACGGATAAGATTGTGCAGGAGGAAGAAAATCGGAGAAATTGTGAGAGTTGTTTCTGGACCAGGATAAAGTTGCCAAGGGATAAGAAAGTTTCCTGGGGCTTGAAAATTGCTATGGAGAAGTTGCTACATTGTTTCCAGAGAGAGTTACAAGCGGCGCACAGAATTCTAAAAGGGAAAGTTTTGTGTTTTTTTCTTCACTCTCTTTCCTAACGTGACAGCGGATGGAATAACAAGAGAAATCTGAAAATCTAGGTAATTAAATACTGAAGAGATAAGGAGTTCTGAATGATTTTTTTTTTAAAGACTTTAAAAAAATTTTTTTGCTGTGAGTGGGAAGGGAGAGGGAAAAATTGGATTAGAATTTGAAAATAAGGAGAAGACTGCCTGGATTTTTAAAGAGCTATAAATACTAACAAGGCTTCTGAAAGATATATATTAAATGGAACTGATCAAACTCCAATCCCAGAAAGAGAAAGTGAAGGAGAAAGTGCTTAAAAGAATTAACCTACTTGGATTGCTTGGTGATTTTACCACTTTTGAGAATTATCTCTGATTAAAAGCACTTGGGTGGTTGCTTGGGAAAACTTTTTCTCTTTATAATGGCATTACTTGTGGACAGATTGAAACTTTTATATCAAAAATATGAGAAAGAAAAGCAAGAAGGGAAGGATGTTTTTGATACTCTTTTTCAGTATTTAGAAATGGCGGTCTACACTTATGTAAAATTGAATGGACAACAGGACGACTGGGACAAAGAAGAAGCCATTTTTGATGAACAAGTGACTTTGGCTGGGGAAGGAAAAGAGAAAGAGAAAAAGGAAAAAGAGACTTTAAGACCTATAAAAGCAATGAAAAAAGAGAAAAACAAGATGAAAAAGAGATATTATGTTAGAAGACAACAGAAAGGAGGAAAGCAGAGAAAAAGGGAGGTGGAGAGGCAAAGGGGTAAAGAGGACAGAGAGAAGAATAAGCAAGGGAGAAAGGGGACAAGAAGCCTCAATAGTAGAGAGCAAGATGTAAAGAAACAAAAGTTTTTTAGAGATAATGGGTAAACTTTATTGATAAAGGGATTCTAGAGGTACATAAGATTGTTTTTTATATTTGTATTTAGAAATAATTTTAGAAAGTTGGAAATAATGTGTAATTTAAAGTGTGATAAAATGTTTAATATAACTTAGTGAAACTTGTCTTAAGAAAAGGGGAACATTTTATGAAATAAGGATTTGAGATATGATGTGGTGGTGGGGGGAATAATTGTGGAAAATATAAGTATTCCCAAAAGGCATGTTATTTAATTGAAATGGATAAAATGGTTAAGATATAAAGGAGTTGGAGAGAAAGATACAAATGAATGTCAATATTAATTAGATTGTGTTATTTCAGTGGAAATTTTTTTTTTTTTTAGAAAGGAGAGATTTGAAGTAGGAGAAGCAGGAATACCTTAATGAAATAATGATTTAAAATATGTGATGTGGGGGGGGAATAATTATGGAAAGTAGGTGCTCCCACAAAAGTATGTTAATTAATTGAAAAGTAATGTGCTAAGTGTTTATGATATAAAAGAATATGAATATTAATGAATAGATCAGTATTGGTATTGATAATATTGTATAATTTTAGAATGTACCAAATAGAATCCCAATGTAAGTTAGGTATTTTATATTAAGTATTATAAATGTAGGGGAAAGAGGTAAAGGCGTCACACTCCAATTAGTGTACAGGAGAAGCTTTTTTTTTAAAGAAGAAAGATAAATCGATAGCTGGAAATAAACAGACAAAGAATAATAAATATTATGATTTGAATTGAGATGAGATAAATAAAATAAAATTAAGAGAATCTAAGAGAGAGAAGAAGCTATATAAAAAATTGAAAATGGTAATAATGATATGGAATGGCATATAAAATGAATATGAATTTGAGTTGGTGTCTGTACAAAGAGTTTTGACCCGGGATTAAGCAACTTTCAGAAAAGATGTTTTTTTTTTATGTTTATATGTTTTGTGTTCTTATGTGTTTATGTTTGAATGAGTTAATAAAACCTTGGAGAAAGGTTAGAAAAGGACAATGGAGAGAAAGATAGAAGAAAATAAAGCAAGTTAGAAAGGGAAAATATGTGATTGTAAAGAAATGTGTTAATGTTGTAAAACTTTCAAATAATTTTTAGAAATTTTTAGAAAAAAAGGTTTTATGTTTATCTTGTATGTTTTGTATGCTTTTAAAAATTAATAAAATTTGTTTAAAAAAAATGTGCAAGTAGAAATAGGAAGTTCAGCAAATAATGTGCTCCAACACTATATTGGACTCTGTAAAGATAACCAGTATCTTTATTGAACCTCGAAGCCCACTGGGAGCCAGGAGAACTCAGAAAGTAGAGATGCTTTGATTAAGTAGAAATGATTATTTATATTGTATTATTCTCTGGTTTGGAAATGTTACTGTTTTGGATAAGAAGGCTGAACAGAGAGTGATGAGAATAGCAGAAAAGATTATTGGAAGTTCACTTCTGCCATTCAGGACATAGAATATAAGCTATGCTTGACCAGAGTCTGTAGTATTATCAAGGATGCTACACATTCTTTGTTACCTTCTGGGATGAAATTTTGCAATATTTAGATTCTGTAATAGCTTTGTATCTATAGTATCAACCTTATTAATTCTCAAGACTCTCTTTTCTACTTTATATATTATATTATATTAATTATATTATTATATTATATTGATTAGATTAGATTGAGAGTAGGCATCAGAATTTCATTTTTAAATGTGTACCAGTGTGTTCACATAAAAAAACTGACAATAAAGGTTATGCTGCATGGACATCCTGAGTCATGCCTACAACTAACTGTACCACTATATTTTAAGATGGCTACAATTTCTGACTTGTCTTCAAAAGTAGCCCAACATTGAGTTCATTGCAGTAATCTACCAAGAGGTGTCTACTTTATATAGCCCGAGCATGCAACGATGAAGTCAGGAAAGCTAAAACTGACAACAAAAGTCAAAGATAAGAAAAAAAGTTTCTTTCACATATAAATAACAAGAAAAAAGTCAAGGAAACAGTTTGTAGGTCTACTTAAGAGAGAAGATGGCAAGGAAATAACAGACAGTAGAGGAAAGTAGTGCTGCTTAACTCATTCTTTACATCAATCTTCACACAAAAGAAAATATAGCCCAACTTACCAAAAACCTAACTATAAAAATTATAAGAATAAAAATTACATAAGCAATGAAATGGTTAGACAACACCCATCTGATCTTGATAAATATAAATCACTGGGTCCTGATAGTTTACATACCAGAGTTCTGAAGAAGCAAGCAGATATTATCTCAGAACCAATGTGCCATATCTTTCAAAAATCCTGGAACACCGGGGAATTACCTGATGATTGGAAAAGAGCTGAAGTGGTTCCCATCTTCAAAAAAAAAATGGGGGGGGGGGGGAACCGACCCAGGAAACTACCGACCAATCAGCCTAACATCAGTACCTGGGAATGTACTGGAAAAGGTAACTACAGATATGCAAACATCTAAAAGCCTGCATGGGTTTGTTAAAAACAGATCAAACCAATCTTATTTTATTCTTTACAAAGTGACTAAATTAGCAGAGCAGCAAAATGCAGCAGACATTGTATTCTTGACAAAGGCATTCGACAAAGTAGTCCATAACCTACTTCTTGATAAGCTAGAAAAATGTGGGATAGACAACATCACCATTGGCTAGATTTGTAACTGCCTGACAAACTGTGCTCAATTAGTTATCCTTAATGGTACTACTTCTCTATGGAGGGAAATAAGCAGTAAGGTGCCACAGGGTTCCATCTTAGGTCCAGTACTCTTAAATATCTTCATAAATGTCTTAGATAAGGAATAGAAGGGAACCTCATCAAATTTGGCAGGAATAGCCAACACCCCAGATGACAAACTCAGGATCCAAAAAGATCTTGACAAATTTAAACAATGGATCCTATTCAACAACATGAAATTTAATATGGAGAAAATCAAGGTTTTACGCTTAGGCAGCAGAAACCAAATGTATAAGTACAGATTAGGAGAAACCTGGCTCAAAAACATTAACTATGAGAGGGACCTTGGAGTTCAAAGAAGATCACTTAAATATGAGCCAGCAGTATGCGGCAGCAGCCAAAAAAGCTAACATAATCCTTGGTTGTATAAACAGAGGCATTGAATCAAAATCATGTGAAGTATTAGTACCATTTATTTATTTATTTATTTATTTATTTATTTATTTATTTATTTATTTATTTATTTAGCGTATGGCAAATACATGGACTTATAGTGGTTCAAATGTTAATGTCCAGTCCACCCAGCCTTCAAAGACAGGGTGCTCTAGGTTGAAAAAAATCAGACATTGGGCTGGTGTAAGCTCTTGATGGACATTTGGACACAATGTGATAAAATATTTTGTCGAGGAGCACCACAGTGTTGTGGTTAGCCAGTAGCAGGTGCAGATGGCTGAGGAGAGCGAGGACTCAGATGAGGGGCCAGAACTATTAGGGAGTGGACTGCTGCCTTCAGAGATTGTGGGGGCTGGCAGCAGGGATGAGGAGGTTTCCAAGGAGCCTGTGCCAAGTTCACATGCGTGCAGGATTGCTCGTAGGAAAGAGCAGCTACAACAGCATGGGCGACTCGGGAATAAGGCTGCAAGGTAATGGCCCCTCCTTCAAGAAGATAAAAGCCAGCTGTGAAATGAACGTACTTTGCAGAAGGCATAGGCATTTTGAAACTCCAGCCTCGTGGACATTCCAGTATCCTGAGTTTGTATTTGAAGATTCTTGTCTTTTATCTTTTGGAAAGTCTCGCACAGTTTGGCAAGGCTTGTACTTATCACAGCGAGTGCCAGAGAGGGCTTCCTATATTTAAGCCTGCAAATTGATAGATGAGGAAGATCAGCGTGCATAGGAAGAAGTGGGTTTCTTATAATTTTGTTGTTCTCCTTCACTAAGCTTCCTGACTTCGTAGAGCTGGTAGTGCAATGTGGCTCAAGACGGGGAGCCAGCAAGTAGGAGTAGATTTTATGCAACTGCTTATGGTCCTCATTGTATTATTTAGTCTAGCATCGATCTTACTAGTATGGCAGCTATTAAGCCAAACAGGGGCACAGTATTCAGCTATGGAGTAGACCAACCATAGTGCTAATATTCTAAGAGTAGAGGCAGAGGTACCATTTTATAAAGTCTTTGCAAGACCACACCTGGAATATTGCATTCAGTTTTGGTCACCACATTAAAAAAAAGATGTTGAGGCTTTGGAAAAAGTGCAAAGAAGAGCAACTAAGATGATTAAAGGCCTGATGACTAAAACATATGAAGAACAATTGCAGGATTTGGGTTTGGCTAATCTAAAGAAAAGAAGGGCTGGGAGTGACATGGTAGCAGTATTCTAGTATTTGAGAGGTTGCCACAAAGGGGAAGGGATCAACTTATTTTCCAAAGCACCAGAAAGCAGGACAAGAAACAATGGATGGAAACTAATCAAGGAGAGAAGCAACCTGGAACTAAACAGAAACTTTCTAACAATGAGGACAATTTGCTAGTTCAACAGCTTGCCATTAGAAGTTGTAGGTGCTTCATCACTGGAAGTTTTTAAGAAGAGACTGTTCAGTCTCTTGTCTGAAATGACATACGGTCTCCTATTTAAGCAGAAGGTTGGACAAGAAAACCTCCAATGTGAAGGGGTCAACTCTATTCTGATAGATTGAAAGAAATTAAAGTTATTTGCTATAGGCTTATACTTGGAACTGTATACTTACCTATAATCGGAATTGTGTCTAAATGACACAATATCTAAATATCAATTAATATTCTATTAAGGAAATTGCAGTGAGGACAAATGTTTTCCTACTCAGAAATGTGCAGCAGATTTAGACCTGTGTCTGATTCAGCAATCGATTTATTCTTAAAAGGCAGCTTCCTCGTGTTGGTGTCTTTAATTGATGGGGAGGATAAAAAGATAAATAGATAAGTTCTTTTTGTATCTAAAAGAATTTTAATAAGGCTGTCACTTGGGAAGATAACTATAGTTCCTCTATCCCACTAAAGACAAATGAACATTTAATACTGACTTGAAAGGACAAAAGTACCATTTTATTTAACTGTAAGTTGAAGCTAAAATAGAGTTTTGATTTTGATTGTTTATCACATAGATACAACTTCGGACTAGAGCATAGGGACTAGAATATGTAATCTAGCTAAATTAATCTATGATATGTTTTATGTTTCCTACTTCAGAATCCTTATTTGTAAGACAATGGGGAATTGGCTTTAAAAATATTAAGGAAGGGAGAAATTGTGATTTATTTCGTTTGAAGGGATATGCTGCTTTTGAGCTCAAAACAAAAGACACCCATTGGAAATAATACTTCTGCAGTTTTCCCAGGTAGTTGGAGCCAAACAAATGGCTTATTTAGTTTCTATTGGAACAAAACTTCAAACATTTCATCTAGAGGAAATTATGTGAATGTAAAGCTGTATTCTCTTCTTTACATTCCAGCATTGCAAGAGTAGTCAATTCAATAATTTACCTGCCACCCAATATACAGAAATGGCCAAGGGGTGGCAAGTAAGCAGTATGAATGGACAATTAACTTATCCCACCTGATGAGCAATTCAGTGGGACTTTTCTGTGGCAGCACTCTTTTTTAGGGAACGCCCTCCTACAAAGCCTCCTTTGGTACAGTTAGTCCTCAACTTGTAACGGTTTGTTTAGTGACCATTCAAAGTTACAATGACACTGAATAAAGTGACATGACTGTTTTTCATACTTAGCATCACTGCAGTATCCCCATAGTCATGTAATCAAAATTTAGGTGCTTGCAACTGACTCATATTTATGACAATTGCAGTGTCCTCAGATCCTGTGATTAACTTTTATAACCTTCTGACAATCAAAGTCAATAGGAAAGCCAGTTTTACATAACAACCATGTTACTAGTTTAACAACTCTAGTCATTTATTTTAAAACTGTGGCAAGAAAGGTCATAAAATGAGGAAAATGTACTTTACAAATGTCTCACTTAGTAACATGTTTTGGGCTCAATTTTGATCATAAGTCAAGGACTACCTTGTACTTGAATTACAATCTTTTCAACACCTTAGGTCAGAGCTTTCCAAATTATCTCAGTTCACAGTTTCACAGCACATAAGCTAAAAAAATGTTGAACAATATCATTTATTACATACTTTCGTCCAAGCAATTCAATATTTATATCCTATGTTCCAAGATATCATAACACACAGTTTGGGAACTGCAGGTTAACTAAACTGTCCTAGAGGATTTTTTAGTAGGTGTTTTAAAAAACAACACACAGAAATGGAAAGAAAAATATATATCTTCATTTCAGTTCGAAATGATTACAACTATTTATTGCATCACTTCAGCCTTGGAATATTATTTTGCATCACCATCCTTCCTTCCCATTCCACACTGATTTTCATGTGGTACTTGCTTCTTATCATGGCAACTGCAAACACCCCAGTTTTGCAAAGTTTTGTAAAAGATACTGTAAAACTCTGCTTCATAAATATATGTCATAAAAATATAAAATTTTCACAGGAGTCTCTGAGTTTGCTGCAATACGCTAAGATATTACAACACCCTGTTTGAAAAAAGCAGCTTAAGTAAAATGTCCTAAATGATTTTTATCTCATGAAAGATTCTTACCTCATGAACAAAAGTTTAGAAATATAATGATTACAGCTAGAATGCAATCCAGTTTAGGATGGGAGATATTCATTTTTTTAATTGGCACTTTAAAGTAATTGGGAGTCAGAAATCCTGGTGATTCACATCAAATGAACAATAGATTCAAGTGGAGACTTTCCTAATATTTTTAGTTCCAGAACAGGACAGTGTTCGATTTTCTTCTGTCTGTTGTGCAATCTCCTTTCTTTTTAAAAAAATCTTTTCATTTCAGAAAATTCACGCTCAGGGTATCAAGAAAATTGCAGAATTATCTTCCTTCTAGTCTTAGTTTTTGATGTACAATAAAAAAAAATGAAACTATTATCCTCTTTTTAGTTCTGCCTTCTTTGAAATGTGACAGAGAGAATGTCTCAGTATAAAGTGATATTCATCAAAGACTGCCAGTTATATTCAGGTTTCACTCAGCTTTGTAAGTAAAATTAAGATTAATAACTACTTTGGAAGAGGGAGGGGAGGTTGCTGAAACACACCGCAAATTAGCCTTTGATATATGACTCAAACTATCTCAAATTATTGGAAACAAAATGGTTGGGAGCAGAGGTGGTATTCAGCAGGTTCTGACCAGTTCTGGAGAACCGGTAGCAGAAATTTTGAGTAGTTCGGAGAACTGGCAAATACCATATCTGACTGGCTCCTCCCCCATCTATTCTCTGCCTCCCGAGTCCCAGCTGATCGGCTGGGTCTTCTTTTGTTGCCCTGCACAGAAGAACAGAGCTGGAAATCAGGCTAGTGGGGAATGGGATTTTGCAGTAACCTTCCCCCAGAAATGAGGTGGAAATGGAGATTTTATAGTATCCTTCCCCTGCCATGCCCACCAAACCACGCTGTGCCCACCAAGCCACACCCACAGAACCGATAGTAATTTTTTTTTTGAATCCCACCATTGGTTGGGATGCATGATATCCTAAGACGATACTTCAGATTTTATAAAGAACAAAATTAGAGATATTTTAAAGTAAAATATCTGCTAATAAATACATAGCTTTGTTTTTTGTTTTTGTTGGGAGGAAGAGCCTTTCTATGTCCTGTAAAAAGTAGAGAAAGACATATTTTGTATAATGTGGGGGCCTGCAACAGTTGAGCAAAGAGGAAGAAAAATAAAAAAAGGGAAATTTTACCTTGTGTTTTGAGTTCAGGTTTAGGATGGAAACGAAATTAGTTATTCCCTGTTAAGGGAATATGTTATCAAATATGTTATGTTAGCAAAGTTTAAATATGTTATCAAAATTTAATGAAGAGGATTTTTTTTAATATTGTTCACTATAATATTTGGGATTAGGGTTAATAAATTTGGTAAAATGGGAGGAAATCTAGCATGTATTTTAAATCAGGACTATTTTTTAATAAATGAAACATTCTCCCATGAGCTGTTCAGAGCATTCAGTGATGGTGCTGAAGGTGCTTCAGTTCCTTCTAGGAAGGCTGGGCTTAAACTTGAGGACACTGCTCCTCCTCCATGAGACTCCTCCTTAGTGTCCCCAGTTTTAGCTCAGCCTTTCTTCAGACAGGTTGTGTTATTGTTTTCCTGGTCAGAACAGAACACTGGCAATTTAGCTGATTTAGCTGATTTATTTCTCAGGTCAGGTAAAACTATAGTTTCTGTCACCAACTACCCCGCTGGAAACCTCCAAAAGTCATTTTGCTCGTTGTTGTTGTTGTTGTTGTTTTTTACGTTCCAGCCTCCCAAGGCTAAAGCCTCATAAACGCGGAGGCTTATCTTTCCAATCTGCCCTGAAGCTAAAAGCCTCTCATTTAAACTTCTAAACAAGGAGGCTTATCTCTCCGATCTCCCAGCCGGCTGAGTAAACGCTCTGTCCCTTCGAGGTTTGAAGCTTCAATTTAAAAGTGCAGCCTTTTTTCCTTTTATTGAGGCTCGAAGCCCCAATTTAAACAGTACAGCCTTTTTTTCCTTTTATTACGAGGCTTTCCCCGCAGAACACCTCAGGGCAGGGAATTAGCCCCTGCGCCTTCCCACTGAGAGGTTTTGTTTTCAGCAGGCCGGATGGTGATAGCTGCTTTCATTTTCATTCTGCCACAAGGCAGCTGCCATTTTAAAGGCTGCGGGGTTAAATTTGCTGAGCAATTGTTACTGTCTGTGAGGCAAGTTACCCAACAAGGTTTCCCTTGTTGGGGACCTGGGAAGGAGGGGGGTCCCTACCACCAGTCCACTGGATGATAGAGGACTTGAACTGCTGGATTCCACAGGCAATAAGTGCAGCTAAACTAATCTAATTATCAGTTACAGAATTCTGTGCCCTCATATAGGTGCCGGGTCTGGAGGGGGTGTGTTCTGGTCTCCATATTTGATATTATGTTATTCAGCTTTGTTCAGGTATTTTCCCACGTCATTATAGTTGTGCTTTTAAAGTTGTAGCGACGTTACAGAATTATCAGAGAAGTCATAGAGATTGAAAAAAGACCTGAAAGCATGAATAAAAGAGATGACTCCACCAGACTGTCAATTATCTGGAAGCCTGCACTCACAAAAAAAAAAAAATCTCCATACCACAAGCCAAGCAAACACC